GCCACTGCACTCCAGTCTGGGCGACAGAGTGAGACTCCAACTCAAAAAAAAAATAAAATATATATATATATATATATATATATGTTGATAGACTAGAACCTTTATGGACATAAATAATAATCCGAAATAAATATATTTTATAGTTGTGACAAAGTGAAAAGTAATAAATTTTTTTATTTATTTGTATTATGTTTGTTTATATTTACCAAATAAGTCAGTGGCATTTCTTTAGCTGTCAGTTAATAAAAGGCGCCTTGGCATTGGAGAGTGCCTGCACTCAGGAGCCAGGTAGACCTGGCTTGAAATCTCTACCGCTTAGTAGCTGAGTGTCTTTGGGCAGATTATATTATCCCATTGAATACTGCCAACAAAGAGGTAATATTACTCCTGTTTCACAATTCAGGAGACTGAAATTTAGTGAATTTTCTTCCACTGAAAATGAAACTAATCATTCCTGCTGGAAAGGAATTAGGGATAATATATTTAAAGTATCTAGAAATAGAAGTTGTTGAATAAGTGATAGCAATGCTGCTAAGTCTCCAAACTCTTAACTGTTATAACTTGTCTTCTGATTTAATGTTTCTCATAAAATGTGAGTCATTTGATCCTGCCATGCATATTCCCAGATTATTCTTTAGAGATAAATCCATATATTTTGGGGAGAGGGTTAGGGATATTTTATGAATGGAGAAAAACACCAAAAAGTAAGAGGAAATTTGATCACAACTCTGTAAACTTGCTTCAGTTTTGTGTCTTACATGAACAGGCATACACTTACCCAACTATTATTTTCTGGGATCATTGGGGGTTATTTGATGTTGAATTTCAGGTCTAGACTGTGGTGGCTTGTTTTTCCTATACAGTTTGACAAGAATGTCAATAAAAAGAGATATGGATTTGTATGAAATTAAAAGCTGATTGTAGTATCAAGAGGTGAGGTGTCACGATGGAGTGAGAGCCTAGTACGTCATGCAGAAAAACTCTTTAAACAAGGCTTTTGTTTTGTGCCACTTTGTCCAGAGTTTAAGTAGTCTTCAGCATCATAATTGTGAAAAGATAAAGTTTTCAAAGCTGAAAAAATTATCATTTCTATAATAATTGGGAAAGAAAAATGTTAATGAAAGCATCAGTGTTCCAAAATCAGAAAATAATTTTTTAATCATCCATGAGGTAAGGTATGGAGTTTTCTCATGCTCCTGAAATAGTTAGGGATCTCTGAGAGTAACAATTATATTTTAGTGCTAAATTTACTCTGAAGTAACTGAAAATTCAACCTCAAAACTTACGTTTTCTGTAATTCAACATTAAACTTTCAGATTTTGGCAGGGGAAGCAGAATCCCGTAATGAGAATTTCTGTTATTTAATTTAATCCATGAAGTATACAATTTTAGGATTTAATTAAATAAGCAATCTTATGGGTTGCAACCTCTCATCTAAATCTTTACTGGAACATCTAGACTCTGGAATATTCTTTTGTCTTGCTTTTTACTTTGGAATCTTAGCAACTCTGATATCCGTTTTGATTTCTCCAGTGATATCAGGACACTTCCTCATTATTCTCTCTTTTATTAGAATTATTACTCAAGACAATTTGCTGTTCAAACTCAATGGCAGAAGTGCCATTCTGTGTCAGTTGGCATTTGCCTTGACATTGATTCTACAGTGGCCAGTGTCAGGGTCTGTCCTGTGGCACCTCCCTCTCATAGTGCCTTTCTGAGAATATCCCATTAGGTTCTAAAAGTACCCTGACCTTCGTGCTTGTAGCTGGGTGGCACATTTACAAAGAATCCTTTTGAATTGCCATTTGCATCTCTTCTGTGCTGATTTATTGGAATTTAGGTTTTAGATTGTGACTTTCTTCTTGTGGCCCACTCCCACATCGTGACACTGCTTTTTGTATCTGACTATGAGGTTAAAAATGTGAACTTTTGTAAGAATTTAGAAATACGCAAAAATGTTTAAGGATACTTTGCTTACTTCCTAAAAATGTGCACTTCTCTGTAAAGCTTATTATACATATGCATCCACTTCGTATTTACTTAATAAGCCTCTTCCCAGGAACAGGTTTTAAATGAGCATCATACTAAGACTCCTGGATAAATATTTTTGACTATGACAGTCTTATTTATTAAAAAATGAGATGACTCAAGTAGAATTCTAACCGAATCTCAGTGAAAAAAATAATAATAAAAATTAAATTTATCTTAACTGAATTTGTTTTTCTGTGTGTGCTTATAAAGCCATATTTCATTATAATTACTGTATCAATACAGTGAGCTTGGTTCAGTTTCACTGACAGTTTCATTGTTGACAGTGTTAGATCTAACACTATTCCCCTTAAAATAAGAGAATGATACATTTTGATACATTTTGATCTGATATTCACTTATCAGGTGTTGTTTGAAATCATTTTTAGGATCTAATAAGTATTTCTTTTCTTCTATTTTGGGAAAATTTCATATGAAGAACATTTAGATTTTGTACTTTTGAATTTCTAGAACTTGAAATTCTGCTTCCAAAAAAGTTTTAATTTTTATAATGAAGTAGATTATTTTTATTTGAATTTTCTTCTTTATTCTAAAAGTAACCTATTTGAGTACATTAATTTCATTGTGAGCAATACTGTAATAATTTTAATCTTCCAAATATTACATATGGTGAATAAAAGACAGATGAATGCTACAAATAAAAGTTTTAAATTTATTGAATTAAGAAAATTATAAAACAGATTAGTGATTTTTATGATTAGAAAAGCCTAAAATACAAACTACATGAAAGTATGTGTAAATTTTTGTTGTCTTATAAATAAAAGTATTTCATTACATAAAGTAAAACAAGAAAGTTTTTATAGCTAATAAGGAATGAAAGACTGGTCTTTAAAAGAAAAATACACCTTTTTGTGCTTTTTAATGTTTCTTATAAAGATAGACTTGAGCATAGATATCAAGGAAGTTAAAAAATATATATTTAATAGAACATTAATTTAGGCATTAACACAAAAAGTTGGCAAACGAATTTGTTAAAAGTTAAGGGTTTGCTGTTTAAGATACATTTATTCCTTTGATAAGTCATGAAGAAACTTCTTTTTTACTCATTCTTTCTCAATAAGATGGAAAATCCTTATGAATTCTTTAAAATTAACCCACATGGGTTTATTGTAACCATTTAAAAAGGAAATTTGTCTTTATTGATCTATACATATATATTTATGATCGTAGAACATTTGATTTTTTGAAGGAACATGTGGTTTCATTCCTGATTAAAGACACAGAGAATATTAAGATTTGACTATAAAGAGCGTCAGAATTCAAGAAACAACTGATATGATTCATGTCCCCCTGATTTTTTTTTTGAATCTATGTAGTTCAATCTACATTATCAAAGATCATCTTAAGTACAAGAACAGTGTAGGTAGATGGAAGCTAACCTCTTGCCTCTCCTTGCAGATCTCTTTAAGGAAGTGGCTGGGTCCACAGAAATGTGTGACCAGCGCCAGCTGGGCCTGTTACTTCATGATGCGATTCAGATCCCCCGGCAGCTGGGTGAAGTAGCAGCTTTTGGAGGCAGTAATATCGAGCCTAGTGTCCGCAGCTGCTTCCAGCAGGTAGGCATGAAGGATCACTGGTATGTAGAATATGTTGGGGAAGGGTTTTGAGGATGCTGCAAGAAATGAAAGAGGGAACTTGGACTAGAGGCAAATGGTGGAAGGCTTTGAGTACCATCCAGGAAGTTTGTATTTCATCTCTTAAGGCACGTCATTCAAGGAATGATGGTATTTTTAAGGAGGTTTGCTGTTTTTCTTTGGATAAAATCTAAAACCTTTAACCTATGCCACTAGATTCGTCCCCGCCCTTCCCTGCCCTCCTCTTCTGCCACTCGTCCTTGACTCCCTGCCCTCTAGCTATACTTCTGTAATTCACTGATTCCTACCATAGTGCTTCTGGACCCGTGCCTTCTGTTTAGTATGTTCTTCCTTTCCCTCTACCCACTAACTCCCTTCCCCTCACTAAGCCTTATTCAGTCTTCCGATTTTAGCTAAACTCTCACATCCTCTGAAAATCTTTCTCTGACTTCTTCGGATAAGGTTGTTTCTGTATTTACCTTAATAGTCCTCTGCCTCTTTCTTCTCCTGATTATTACAATTATGATAGCATACTGAATTGTACAATTCATTGTTTAGGGTTTATTTCTTCTATAGAGACCTAAGTCCCATGAAGACAAGGACTATGTCTATCTGTTTACTGCTATATCCTGTCTTAGTTCATTCAGGTTGCTATAACAAAATATCGCAAACTAGGTGGCTTGTAAAGAACACACATCTATTTTCTACTGTTCTGGAGACTGGAAAGCCCAAAATCAAGGTGTCAGTAGACTCACTGGTGGGGGCCCACTTGTACCTCCTTGCTGGGTCCTCACATGTGATGGAAGAGGTGAATGAGCTCCCTCAAGCCTCTTTCATAAGGGTACTAATCTCCTTCTTGAGGGCTCCACCATCATGACCTGATCTCCTACCAGAAGCTCCACGCCCCGATGCCATCCCCCTCTCGAGCATGAGGTTTTAATACAGGAGTTTGTGGGGAACACAGACATTCAGATCATAGCATATCCCTCTGAACAGTGCCTTGAACATCATTACTACTTTAATAAATATTTGCTAAATAAATGAATAAAAATGCCCTGAGTTCTTTCTAGGCAAGATTTTAAAAAGATATATAAAATAGAGATGTTATTACAATAGGAGTTTTTCTCTTTGAGAATATACATACAGAAGGATAAAGATACAAAAAGTTTTATACCAATCTAAGTTACTAATTTTAATCTGGGAAAGCACTTTAGTTCCTGTTTAGTTTTTACTGCATATAAAGGCATTTCAGTGTTACTACTGATGTTATACACATACATAAAGTACAAGCCTATGGATATTTTGCCAAAGCATAGCTGGTGATTTATCATTGCCTGGGAAAAAATTGCTCACACTGTGTCTTTGAGGAGAATTGATGTCATGGGTTATTACATTTTATAATGGCCCTTTTTCCTATTTTAAAAATAGAAAAAATTTCAAATGAAAATTCTAAGTATGATTTATAGTCACATGTATTGGTTCATAGAATGACCTCAGCAATAGTAGTAGAATGAAATTGGTAGAAATGTACCAATGTGAATTTGCACATCTGAAAATTACTTAGTATTAGGACCTGAAGAGGAATTGAAGAGTTTTATGTAATTTATCATGATACATTTGGAAATTCTGCAAAGTACCTTCATAGCAATATGCCTCCAGTGTGATGATGTAACAGGATTAGAGCAGGACACAAAAAATTAGAACTTTCATTTAAGCATTTATAACAACCTTCAAGTTTGTGAAGTTATCAGTGGGTCTTCCATAAATTGTTACTGCCTTAGATGAATCAGTTTTATAGAATTAAAGTATTTATGTGAAAAGATTTCCTAGAATTGTGTGGTTTTGGTTTTTGCTTTTGTTTTTTGTAAATCTGAATATATTGAGGTATTAGAATATATGCTCTCTCTTCTTTTAAGTTCTAGAATTTTCTTGTCTTGAAAACCCCTAAAGATTTTATGACTTAACCTAGAAAGAGTTATTTAACTTTCTCCTTACTTCTGAACAGATTTTCGGAAGATTATGATGCAACAAGATTTGTTACCATATAAATGAAGAAATTTTCTTCGCTTTTTAAATATATTTGTTTCTTCACCAGAATAACAACAAGCCGGAGATAAGTGTGAAGGAGTTTATAGATTGGATGCGTTTGGAACCTCAGTCCATGGTTTGGCTGCCAGTTTTACATCGAGTGGCAGCAGCTGAGACCGCAAAACATCAGGCCAAATGCAACATCTGCAAGGAATGTCCAATTGTTGGATTCAGGTAAGATGCACTAGTGGTGGCAGTAGACTATTTTCTGTTCCGTTTTTGTACTCTCAGTGGTATGTTCCTCTTCCATTCCCATTTATTTCAATTTGGAGGTTTACCTTCTAGATAAATCTATCTACAAATGGCATTTCTTCTTCTAACCACCACTTGAAACTTGTTTTATTATTATTGTTTTTGTTGGTTTTTTTTATACTGCTTTAGTTCAGAACCAGATATTTTTATAAATTTCTATTTATTTAGGTCACAGAAATGTTCATGCATGATTGATTTTAAATATACAACCCTGATGGAATCTGGTGAATGGTCTAAGGTCTTTGGGGTCCAACTTAGGAAGCAGGAAGCAACATTTAAATTCTGAGAAGTAATCAAATTACTTTGTGTTACTTCTGCCAAGTTTGGTGTAAAGTATGTTAACTCTACTGTTTACCTTTCCATGAGGAGTACTGCTAAATGGTATTCATTAATGTAATCAATCAGTGCATCAGACTCCTCATTTTGTGACCCCCAGAGCAGACTGTGCAGGATCTGTGGTTTGCCTAAGATGAAGTTTTTTGGCCATCCTGGTTTTTTCATCCTCTTCTCTTAAGATAAGTATGCATTTGACCTCTTAGAATATACTATATTTCTCTTCTCAGGGGAATCTGGAAAATAGCCTCAGTTTCATTTGGAAATTTATTATGAAACCACATAAGCCTACTCAGCAGGGGAGCTCAGCATTTTTTATGTACCTTTCATTCATACCTGAAAATAAATTAGCTGAGATGGTGATCCTCTGATGACTCAGATCAGGAGGACTGGGATTGGTTGTTGTTGTATATAGTATCAGTATCTTGAGTTAAACTCAATTGTTTTCATTTGACTGACTTCATCAGCATAATAGTTTATATGAAGCATATGACTGCATTCTTTGTGGGTGGCTAACTAATAAATAAAACTAAAACTTTCTCTTCTCTCATGCATTATGGTGTAGTGGGGGAGGCTATCTAAAGTGTAGGAGAGTCTTTCCACTATGCGTTGTAAGAGAGTGAGAAGGCAGATGGTTAGTTCAAAGTAGAGTCAGCATAAACCTGGCAGACAGCCAAGATGATGAAGCCCCAGTGAACATCAAAGGGCAAATGTTAGAAGGAGGGAGATGGAAACGCACAATTTAAATGCAACAGGTTTCTTGGAAATACTGTTAGAAGTACAGTATCTCGTGGACATAGATGGACAGGAAAGGAAGCAAGTGGAATTTGGTAGCTCAGGATACTACTGGTAAAATTATCCAAATGAGAGAGAGAATCATCAGAGCTGATAATCATTCCATTTATAAAGTGCTTACTCTATGCCAGACATTGTGCTATAGTGTGTTATGTGTCATTTCATTTACTCTTTATAAAAACTCTGTAGAATTGGGAATATTATCTCTACACATCAAGAAACTAGACTCAAAGATTAAGCCATTTACCCAAGACCAGATATCCAATAAGTAAAGACAGTTATCCAATAAGTAAAGCTATCCAATAAGTAAAGTAGGGTTGAGATTCAAATCCAGAACTTTTTGGTTCTGGAGGTTGTGCTCTTAATCAAGATGGTTTCAAAAAGTAGATTGCATTTTTAGGAAAGGAGAGAATCAACATTAAAAAGTAATTAAATTATACTTAAAATAATTGGTTGTTTTTTAGATTGGAAAATACAGTTTACTTAGAAAGTAAATTAGAGAGAGAGAGGAGATTCACCTTCCCAAGGCAGGGGAGAGGGGCCAAGGCTAGGAAACATGATGATCATGGCACAAGGAGCCACATGGTCAGACCATGGGTTAGCAAAGCAATGGCGAATGGAGAGAGAGAGAGAGAGAGAGAGAGAGAGAGAGAGAGAGAGAGATTGATTCACCTCCCCAAGGTAGGAGAGGGGGTCAAAGCCAAGAAACTTGATGGCCATAGCTCAAAGAGCCATGTGGATTTACCAGATTTTAACAATCCAATGGCCAATACTGAAAAAATGCTGATTTAGGACATTAATTATTAGACCAAAAATATTACACTGGCTATAAACTGTTTGTGTGAAGCCACAGGAAATGTCCAGATTAATTGACTTGGAAAGAGACTGGCTCATGTAGAATCTGGCATATATGGCTATTGGTATATGTCCTAGAGAGTTCATGAGGAACCAGATTTCTAAGAGGCTGTGAACATGGAGAGTGAAAGACAGGACAAAAGACTCTAAAAATATTAGTGTATGAGTGAACTTTAAAGTTTTCATTCTTAAATAAAAAATAGCCTGAAGCAACTGTAGCAAAATATGAAGATTTAACAGCTGAGGTGTGGGAACACTAATGTTTATTGTATAATTCTCTCTATTTTTGCATGGATTTGAATTATTTCATAAGGAAAACATGAAAAGCAACTATGAAGTGTAAACAGTGTTAAGTGTTAAATTTCAGTGCTTAAGTTTTCTATATTAATATAAAATTTACCAATAGGTATCTCTATGCTAAAGATGTAAAGTTGATCACATAGTCAGAGATCAGAGTTCTAAAGATGTAAAGTTGATCACATAGTCAGAGATCAGAACTAGCTCTGGAGTCAGGCTGTTTAGATTTGAATTCTTGCTCCTACTGTTTGGTGCTGAGACTCTGAATAAGTCACTTGGATTTCATGAACCTGATTTCTTCAATTTTAAATTCTGAGTGTTTCCTCATAGATCATTAATACATGGAAAGTATTACTGAGTAGGCATTCAGTATTACAGACTAGGCATTCAGTACATGTTACCTTTTTTATTTATTAATAACATCATTAGTAGAATAATAGCTAAGCCTGTGAGTGTGTCACTGAACTTTTCCATTAAGTGAAAATACTAGAAAAACCTGGACAATGATGTTGTTTAGCAGAAGGCAGGATTGGAAAGAAATATATAAGGAAGAGAAAGATTAACAGGATTCTTAAGAGAAGTAAAGATGCAGAGTGTTGTGGAAATCAAAGAGAAGGCTTTAGAAAGATGGTAGGGGTGTTCAAGTGCAACAGAGATATTCTAAAGATCATATATGAGAATGGACCTTTGAATCAGGAAAAGCCATTGAGAATCTTAGAACTTTTTCCTTGTTATGATAAAGATGAAAGACAGGTATCAGGCTCAGGAAAAAATGTAGGTTAGTATGTGCCGATGTTTTCAATAAACTTAGCTATAACTTAAGGAATATATATGAGGATGTTGAAAATGGTAAGCTAGTAGGTGTTGTCTTCCTTTAGCTTGCATATATATTTCCCCAGTTTTCTATGTTGAGAATGTAATACATTTAAATTTTGTAGTTCCTGAATAAAAGAAAAATATGTCTATAGCTGATACCTGGTTTAGGGACAAGACCAAGCAAAGGTTTCCTCAAGCTAATGGTGACTAAATTATTGTGCAAAGATTATGCATTAAGGGAATGACAGTAAGAACAATTTTAACAGTAAAATGGAGTCAAGATAGAATAGGTTTTAGTGGCTCTTAGTTACAAAGGGATATCTCTTTCTCTGAGGCTACAGAGAAAGAATGAAAGGCAGGTACAGAAATAAAGACAAAGCATTGTAAAATAAACTTAATTTTAGACTTTCTCTATCAAGCTCCTATTCTAGATATGTGTGTGTATTATGTATATACATATATATTCATTTTCTCTGAACTTTTATACATACCACTAGAGTTTTTCACTAATTACTTCCAAATTAAATTTTAATGAAATCTTAGATTTACAGAATGTTTCATAAGCTGGGAATTGTTTCAGTTAGAATCATACACAGTTGCTTAATAGCATAAATAAGTTAGAGTTTAAGTTCTTTTCATGTATACAAAATGTGGGAGTAGGCAATCCAAGACAGTTGCTCTGTGGTCACCTGGGTCCCTACTTCTGTATTTATGCTGTGTCATCCCTAATATGTGATTTCCATCTTCAAAGTCACCCTCATGCTAGCAAGAGGATTATCTTGTGTATGTCAGATACATTTTCTGGGAAGGAGAAAGAGAGAGCATGCCTCTTCCCAACTGAGTCAGCCCCTTGAAATAACAACTAGAACCCCACACAATGACATTGTCTAGGTATTGCACTGATTACCACCATCAGCAAGAAAGACTAAGAAACTGTTTTTCTCAGGACATATTGCTAAAATGAGGTAATAGTACAAGAGTCTGTTGCCTGTAAAAAAGGAAAATGGCTATCTGCCAAGGGAATATTCAGCAATAAACAAAACACTATTTAGAAGAAAATATGTCAATCATATTTGTTAAGCCATGCAGATAGATCAAGCTATATTGTTAGCATACATGATTGTTCCAAACCAGTAGTTTCCTTGTAAAACTAAGCTGACTGTAGTATGAAATATGCAGATTGATTTCTTTCAGATCGATTTGCAAGTGATTTTGCAGGTCATTTTGGAAGCTATTCAAGACTTAATAGTTTACAATATTAACCTCACATAACTGTTAAACTTTGTTTTCATTTTCATTCTGTTAGTCCTATTACTTATTTTTTTCCTGCAGATATGGGTGTAATTTATGTTCTTAGTTCCACTGGCAAGACTGACAATATGAAAGATTTGGGAGAATATGTTTTCCACTCAGACCCATAGAAACTTACTGTCTAGAGGTTTGCTCCTCTAGATTCTGCAAATGAAAGTCAATGTGCAGTGTCATTCTTATGCGAGAGATTTAAAAACACCATTTCATTTAAGAATACCATGTGATTAAGGTTTTATTTAATTTGCTTTTCATTATGGGGTATTTCTTGATTTTTAAATTATGACTAGTTTAAACCAAATACAAAAATACTCATTGTAAAAAACAGTACCATTATGAGGAAATTTTAAGATTCACTTCATATTGATGGCATTATTTTAAAATTTGATATGTCAACTAATAAGTATAACTAACTCTTTCCCTCTGTGCCATTTTTCATTCATGTTCAAACATTAGAGAAAAATCTTCTGACATGGATAGTTGAATCCATATCATGTATAAACAGATAAAAATATGTTTTAGAGACTTGAACTCCAAAAATTTACTTTAGCCTTGGTGCCTTGGATTAATGAAATTCCTTAAAGGAAATGATTGATTTAGACTACATAATAGGAATGCAAGCCAATGAATTTTCTTTTCTCCTCTCTAGGTATAGAAGCCTAAAGCATTTTAACTACGATGTCTGTCAGAGTTGCTTTTTTTCGGGTCGAACAGCAAAAGGTCACAAATTGCACTACCCAATGGTGGAATATTGTACACCTGTGAGTACTGAGCTGCTGCTGTTTTTTATAATGCATTGTTTTTGAATTAACTAGTATCGAAAATTATATTCAGTTTATTTGGACTTAACATTGTTTTGGAAAAAAGATAACTTTCAAGATTGCTTAACTATTTTTTTTTTGCTTTATTTTCTTTTAAGTAAACATATCTATGTTTAATTAATTAATGCAGAAAAATTAATTTACTAACTTTTTTACAACTGAATTTTGATTTTAAACATAACTTTTTGTTTTTTCCCCTCCCAACATAACTTATCTGTTAGCAAACTATTTTAAGAGCTCACATTGACCTATATTGAAAATTATAGTATATAATGAAAAATCATGTTTCTTAGGCATATTTCATAGTTAAATATTGTTTTCACTTTAGCAAAAATGCAGAAGATCGAGAAATTAAAAATATTCATAAACCTAGCTCTTGAATAAACTTTCTAATATTTTTAATGTCTCTGATTTTGTTAAGATTTTACTTACTTTTGCATTTATGCATTTCTGTTTCTGATTTTTTTCACTTAACGTTCTGTACAACAAATGTTTCCCCATGTAGTCACATAGTATAATTTTTGTAGTCATAAAATTTTTATTTGAGTGAGTCACCTTTTACCTAACCATTCTTTTACATCTGTGTATTTCGTTTATTTTTAATTTTCCAATATTATAAAGAATACTCTTAGAAATATCTTTGCAAAGACAACTCTTTCCACATATTATGTAAATTATATTTTCATAGGAAAAAGCACTAGAAGTACTATAGTGATCTGACTCAATGAATATGAGTATTTTTAATGGCCAAAATACTTGATGTCAAGTAATTTTTTAAAAGAGGCCCATCCCACTTTACATTATCATATTTTATTGATCTCCCAATTTTACATAGCCCCACCAGCGTTGGATACTGGTTTTTGTTGTTTCTTTTATCTAAATCTATATTTTCTGAAGTTATCTTCATGCTGTGTTAATAGCTATTCTCTAGCTTCCTTTCAAATATTGCCAACATCATTCTTAAAGCCATACATTTTCTTTGGTTTGGGAATTGAGTTACCTTTTTGGATCATAAATTGACAGAAAGGCAGCAATACTTATAAAACATACACATATAAATCTCACATTCTTAGGTTATCTCTAATAAATAAGGGCCAAATATGTAGAGAGGAAATCTCTAGAAAATGTTGCCGAATTGTAATGGATGAAATACCCATAGTATGTAATATCTTTAACCAGAAAAAAAAAAATCTTCCCACGGAAATTTGTGAAGCATCCTTTATTACTATTATTAACTTACTTATTCACTCAACCAATTAATATTGAACACTTATTAGGTATCAAGTGCTCTTGTCAAGGATGAACAAAGCCAGACACTAATTAAAGTGGTAAAAACGATTTTAATCAGTAATATACTGATTTTATGCATGTTTATACTTCATTTTGTACAGAAGTGGCTGGTTGTTTTCAGGGGAGAATGAAGGAGAAGACGGGGTGAACAGCGGGTCTTGAGCAGAGTTAAGGAAGTGAAAAATTACAAAGGGCTGGTCAGTGTAAGTGCAACGAGCCTGTCTGTGTCTCCTCCCTAGCACTTGTCAGAATGCGGATTCTGCCCTTCCAGAGAGACTGTGAGACAGAGGCCCTTTCATTCCTGATGATTACATTAAAAAAAAAAAAAGGCTTCCAGATCTTTGAGAAAGACACTCCTGAGTTGTCGGAGATACATAAACATCCCAAAGGGTCAGAGAAAGTATTCACCATTCTAAGCTCTTTTAAGAAAATGCTGTAAGAAAGAGTGGTTAGTGTCTATATTCAGGAGTTGGCTAAAACAAACAGTAAATTCTGTCAGCAACCTGAAGTTTTTTTCAGGCAGACACTTTAAGAGGAGCTAGGGTCATCCAAAGCATGCGGCCTTGAACTGTTAGAAATTATGTTAATATTTGTTCAAGTCTTTTAATGATGGTGGGGAGGTTGGGAGGGGATGGACAAATTGATTTGTGCTGAGAATTTGCATATTTTATAGGTCAAGATGTCAGTCAAGGAGAGGGAACTGACTAGAGTTTGGTCAAGGAGAGAATCTTTGTGAGTAGTCTCAGCTCTGATTACGTATCAGAGTATGCCAAGAAAGACAAGATTGTTGACTCTCCTGCTACTTTCCCTTTAGGAGAAAGGGATGGGTGAAAATGAACAAGGAAACAAATAAATTAGGTCATTATGTTTAATAAATACCTTCATAGAATTAATGGATAATGATATAGAATAATTAGAGGAGGCACTTTTTGTTTTGTTTTGTTTTTTTGAGTTGGAGTCTCACTCTATCGCCCAGACTGGAGTGCAGTGGCCGCTCCCAGCCACCACAGCCTTGACCTGCTGGGCTCCGGTGATCCTTCTGCCTCTGCCTTCCGAGTAGCCGGAATTACAGGCGCGCACTACCATGCCCGACTAATTTTTTGATTTTATTGTAGAGATGAGGTCTCGCCTGCCCAGGCTCAGGCAATCCACTCACCTCAGCCTCCCAAAGGCGCGGGATTACAGGCTGAGCCACCGAGCCCGGCTAGAGAAGGTACTTTACATAAAGGAATCAGGTAAAGTCTGTTTGAGAAGTTGACATTTGAATTGAGACCTGAAAGCTGAGAAAAAATCAGCCATGGGCTCAGTGTGGTGGCTCACATCTATAATCCCTGCACTTTGAGTGGCCAAGGTGGAAAGGTTGCTTGAGACTAGGAGTTTGAGACCAGCCTAGGCAACATAGCAAGACCTCATCTCTTCAAAAAATTAAAAATTAGCTGGGCATGGTAGCGCAGGTCTTTAGTCTCAACTATTTGGGTGGTTGAGTCAGAAGGGTCACCTGAGCCCTGGAGATCAAGGCTGAGGTAAGTCATGATCGTACCACTGCACTCTAACCTAGGCAACAGGGAGAGACCCTGACTCAAAAAGAAGAAAGAAAGAAAGAACTACTGGAAGTGTATTTAGAGAGAAAAAACAGAACACGCAATGGTCTGAAGTAGGAAAGAGGTTGGCGTGACTGGGATGCAGGAAGAAAGTAAAGCCTATACCGCAAGGAGAGTGTGTGGTCAGGAGATCTGGCTACTCAGCTGGAAGTGCCTAGTGTAAAATGGAACTGCAGAGCCCCATGTTTAAAAATTATGAAGACTTTCAAGATGGCAACAATGGAGCAGTAAATTAAGTTTAGGGGTTTTCTGAACATGGGCCCCTGAGCAACTACGTGCACATCCTTGAAGCTGTCCTGGGGTTGAGATGGAGGTGGGTGTGACCAGGGAACAGAAAGAAACTGAACTGAATTTGACAATGGATGAATTTCTACCTTCTCAAAAGGGATAATGGTAGGAGACGAGAATAAAAGGCAGCTATCACATATATGGAACCCTGGGAATCATTGTAAGAAATTTGGATTGGAGAGAAATATAATGATATTTACATGATAATAGCTAGACTATTAGGAAACTTATTATAAAAAGCCAGTGTCAAAATAAGAAATATGATAAAGTAAATATATGCAAAATTGTTATAGAAAAGATGTATAAAAATTACTATTTTTTCTTGGGCTTAAATATAATAATTCCTAATAGTTTTGCAAAATATGCAAACACTTTGAAGTCAACTTGTCCTCAGCAATTATTGGTCAGTGGAAACATGCTTGAGAATCACTGATACACAGATGAATTTCACTCTCCAATCATCAATTTTAATTCAAATCTGTAAGTTACCCAAAACTCTTGTTACATAGTCTCCGAAATATCACTGTTATCATTTCTAAGATTACAGTTAGTCCTGCATTATACAGGGATACCTTTCTTTTCCAGACATGCCTTGGGAGGTCCTTTGCCCCTTTCCGCGATTGTATAGTGGTCTCATCAACAGCCTACTTATAAATCATCTCTGTGACAGGTTGTTTCCTGCATTTGACCCTATAACTCTTTATAAAATCACTAGAAATCTATATAAATTGAGTCTCTGAAAGGATGCTTGCATTTAATAGTAATGAGTGATGTGATTTAACTGCTCTCCAACTTTTTCTTTTCTTTTCACCTCCATTCTTTAAATTGTTTGCTTTCCTCTTTTAAGTAAGCTTTATTTATGGTTTACTTATCTTTTATCCAAGATTCCCTAAACTTATTTAATGTCTGCTTTAATGAACTCAAGTGTGAATGTGTTCAGTACAGTGATAATAAGCGCAGCTTGAGTGTTAAGTGGCTCAGACCTTTCCATATGGATCTTGTATTTGCATTTCTCCTAGTGCATCTCTGTTTTTGGTTAAAAAGATGCTCCCCGTCATGTTACTAACTTGATCTCTTTCTCCTTCAAAGTCCTTCACAGCTGACTCTGAATGCTTCTATTATTAAAAAACTTTCTGCAGTTTATAAACTTTATTTTAAACCCACCAAACTCCCAGAATATTTCACCAACATGTCAGCTTATTATCTATGATAATATTTGCTTTAGATGTAGGAAGACTAATGGTGTATGAATTAACTATCATGACTCATGGAGGTTTTTTATGATATTGATAATAAAACATTTATATAAGGAAATGAAGCAAAGTTTTTCTTTCTCTAAGAAATGATTTTTTAAACTCTTATTTTCCTCCACTGTTCTATAACCCAAATTTGCACATTTAAGAATTCTTTCATTAAGCTTAATAAGAGCTCATTTTCAGGACAGGACATGACATAGATAATTAATGCCTATCAACATTATCTATTCATGCAAATCCTACCTTGTCACAAAAACAGCACAGGTCTTACTTTCTGTGTAAAATCTTCCCAAACTCCTCTGGCATACCCTTACCAAACACTTAGTTCAGAGGCCTCTACAAGTAGCCTCTACTTTCCTAGTTAGTATTTGATTCCATATTATCTTTCCTTAACCATGTGGTATTTTTGTCTCCTTAATTATCTTTTTAATTCCTTAAAGACAAGGATGAACTTTATACTTTTTTCCCTATACCTAGTTAAATTTGCCTCATAAAAGCTAAATGA